TGTAATTAGGATTTCATTTTAGTTGATAGTTTATTGGATAAGCAAGGAAATACCCTAGTCTGTCTTACAGACCCTGATACAAATATTTATCAAATACAGCCCATGCAAGTCTATAATGTTTGGCAAGTCTAGATAACTGCAGTATCACTGGGCTCCTTTTTATTATATTTTTATTAAGATAACTGAACAACTGTTTTTTTATGTAAGATGTGTTCATTTCAGAGAATAGATGTTAGTCTAGGATATACCCATATAATCTAGTAACATAAATTGCATCTTCGTTCGAGTCACAAATAACAAAACTCTAGTAGTTTCCACTAATGTACAATTCCAAGACTAGTACAATGACTTGTACATGTAATAGTTATTTAATAAAAGATAATTTCAAATGACTTTGGCTACCTACAATATTGGCTTGACTTCTTGATTTTACCACTGGCTAGCTGGAAAAAAATACTTGTAGCCCTACGGCTACTAGGTAAAAACTGAAACTTTGAGGCCTGAGTCATAACGTGTCCTCTAGTACTAAGTGCTCTCACAAGACATGAATGAATCTCATGTGGAATTTTTAAGGGAGGATGATTCCCCAACGCACCCCAATTTCAAACTCATTGTACACTGAGTCACATTTAGATGGCATAATTTGCATGAAACCAATTCTCAATCCCATTATGTCAGGGTTAGACACGGCCACTTGTCCCTAAGTCCGACACCCGTCAAAGTCCAGGGGGCATTCCAAATCTACATATGAATGTGGAATAAACCACAAGACTGAAATGAGCTCCAGACAAACTTGACATGACCAACGGTCATATATTGCTGTAGATGTGACAAAAAGTGATTTGGCAGCCCTAGAAACTAACCTTTTTAGTCTTCCAGTCCTTATAATGATAACATGTTACATTGTATAAACCCCCTTAAAAATGGCAAATTTCTACTCATCCTTATCATACCTTAACCTTTGGACAGTTTGGCAAGGACGATCGGACTAGCACCAATTTCTATCGCTGTGTTGTGAAAAAGTCATCTTTGTGTCCCTGCATAATCAGCTTTAGAAACTAACATTTTTAGTCCACTAGTCCTTATCATAACATATAGCAAAACCCTTAAAAAGGGCAAATTTCTACTCATCCTTATCATACCTTAACCTTTGGACAGTTTGGCAAGGACGATCGGACTAGCGCCAATTTCTATCGCTGTGTTGCGAAAAAGTCATCTTTGTGTGCCTGCATAATATTGATAATGATTAAAAAAACCTCTGATAAACACTTCCGCAGGCGCTAGTCATGCCAATAGATCACAATCTGTGTTAGAAAATAAAGGGTCCTGGAGCTACTTGAATCCAGGGACCCCTAACAGCGTTAGAAACTGGCACTAGTCCTGTAGTCCTTACCAAACTGCCCAATAGTTAAGGTATCATAAGGACAAGTAGAAACTGGCACTAAAGTCCTGTAGTCCTTACCAAACTGCCCAATAGTAAAGGTATCCTAAGGACTAGTAGAAATTGGCCCATTTTAAGGGTTTTGCTATATGTTATCATTATAAAGACTAGTGGACAAAGCTGTTAGTTTCTAACCCTGTCTAACCCTCTCCGTATTAACATTAGAACTATGACAAGAATCCCTGACTTTCCTCCATAAAACCGCAAAATCATTCATAGTTCATTCTCCTGAGAAAAATTGACATGTTTTGATTTTCCAAAATAATAACAATGCTGGCATTATTAATAAATATGGTCAGTAAAATGAAACAAAAACGCCACAATCTTCTATTTTTAACTCTGTGTAAGGCCAGGCTACTTTTGGTTTCCTTGTCCTTGTCATCGAACACCTTCAATAACACCAAGTCACAGTCATATCCCACACACCAGTAGTGTTCAAATGTTTTATTTTTTCCTATCAAATTTGAATCAGCGGTTCTAAGCGAGAGCATTGGTCATTGTACGTTTACACAAGGATATGGTCTCGCGTCCGCCCTGCCTAAATACAAATATTGGCGAAGGATTTCTTACTGCAGTAACAACTAACATCTGATGTTATCCACTAAGCCCGCTGGAACACACCATGGCGGACTGGATGGACACAGGTTGATTACACATGTCAGTGATACAGGTTCCATCCAACCCGGACTCTGACATTTGGCCCGCTATGCGGAGTTGTATATTTTATGTGTGAACTTTGATAATGACAGGAAGATTGGACCACTGACACATGATTATGGTAAAGGCTACAATCGGCAGGCTCATATTTGTCTGTGAAGAGGACAGTTTCCACAAAGAGTGATCTTGCGAGCAGGCAATGGCACAACACAAACACCCGCAACGAGTGGGTGGTTTCGCGAGAACATGTTGACTTCGGTTAAAAAACATGCAACATTTGTACGAGTGTTTATTCCCTTATGAAACTGTGATCACAACTTGCAAATGTTCATATGAATAAAATACTGTGTGCATTTAAAGAGGTCCATTTCCTATGCATGAGACTCAAAGATAATGACACGATCAATACTCAACTATGGCCAGCCACAAAGCTTCACACAAAAAAGGTCCACCTAATTTTGTATCAAATTCATCCTCATCCATTTTACACTTAGTTTTTAGGGCTGGTATTTGAAGCCATGATGGACAAAAGCAGTCCCACACTTAGGCGATGGTAAAATATCTGCTTGGCTGAGTAGCTGCGTAGTGGAGGTGATTATCTCGGGTTACAATTACTACAGGCGATGGTAGGACGACTATTCTACTGCTGCCTCCATTGACGAAGGGTCCACGGGGAGCTGGTGATGTCATGACGCTGAGGACAATGCTTATTGTCTCCTTGGACGACAATAAAACATTATCAGCTCCATCAATGGCTGGACTACAAGGATTCATGCTGTTCATACGCGATCAGCTTGCAAACACTGTTTTGTAGGTTTTCTGTTTGTAAAGTACATTTTGTCTTTGTTGACAGAATGGTTTAGGAATTGATCAATTAAATTTCAAATTATGAAGAACCTTGAAAATTGTTGTCACTTGATACATTATATGAAGGATATGTACTTTATTCTGAACATAACTGAGGCAGGTACATAACTGAAAAATGAATATTTTATTTTATCAGAACAAAATTATGCATCCAGCTGCTAAAAGCTCTTACAGGAGTGTGTTGTAATATGCTCTGAAACCACGACTCATTGTAAAAAACACATGATTCTTTCATTACCACAAAGAAATCTTGCAACGTATCAAAACATGTATCCAGTCTCACAAAGAGAGCCTTGTCATAATCGACAGCTGGGAAGCAAGAAATAACAAATTTATCTGGAAATCTAACTCAGTAAAAACATGGCAAGGCTTTGTCATGGGTGATAGCATCAGGAGAAACAGTTCCCGTGGCACTTAAGCCAAGAGACCCTGATGCTATTCCGATAGTCCTGGAAGCTCATAGAGATGACTTATCTCCAACATGATTCAAACATGAGGATCACGGCTAGAAGTGAAAAAGCTTAAAGACATACTTGTGCAGGTAATCAGTTAGAGAGATTGGCAATCTATCTTAACATGGACCAATCATTCAAAAATTTTTTTTATCAATTTTGAAAAGAATGAACCATTCTTACATTCTTGTTCTTGAAAGAAATTGTTGACATAAAAAAACTAAGTCAATCACAATGCACAGAAACATTTCACCCAATGGAATTCTTTTGTAGATGTAGACACTATTCAGTGACTCATGCTTGCATGGCCTTAAACCTGCGAAAAATGGGGAAAGGTGACCAAAGTGAACATTATTTGTCATCACACCTGAATTTGATGGGCCAATATTAATGCTAATATAATGGTTACTAGATCTAGTCCAGGTGGAAATACTACCAGGCCAGAAGGACCGTTTTGAGAACTTTAACAAAAGACCTATACCTAATTCATATAAAATTCCATAATAGGCAAAGGATTGCAGCCTATCTTGTCCAGCTTACATTTCTCCAGCTTCTCTCCTTCTCAGGATTGACCATGTGAAGCCAAATATGGGCCTACCTTTTAACATATTCCTATTTCAACCTCATCCCACATGATGTAAAAATATGCACATAAAAAACTCCAAGCAACGTAACCTTTGTAACGATTACGTACTATGAAATTATTACTCAAAAGGTCCTACACGTCACCAAATTATGTCATTTGTGGAAAGATTGAAACAAAGACATGAAGTCCTAATGAAGGACTATTACTCACACTCATTCGACCATATCAATGACCCTTGATCTCAAATTCCAATTTAAGACACATAAATGAATTCATCACCCACTCAAGATGACACGGGCTACTAGAAAACACAAGCCAATTAAGATTAATTGCAATTAAGCCTTGCCAATCTCTCCTGCTTTGTCTAATTGCTAATCTCTGTGGATTCTAATTAACAATGCTGAGCAATCCTACCGATAAAGGGAGCGAAGCAGCCTTCGAAAGAGTGTCAAAACCATTCACGAAAATCAACCTACTCATGAATTCAAAGTATTGTAAATGTCATGTAAGTAACGAATCCTCCATTGATGAAACCTTCTTGAAATCGGTTCATTGGATTTGACCTAAATTTCGCAAAACCGTTTTCTTTGAAAAGAAATAAATGATGCAAATTAAAGTATTGATGTTCATATACATTAGTCATATATTAACTGGGTAGATACGATGCGAAAGCGGTTGTTCTGCGCTTCAGGCTCCGATGAGTCAGTTCAGCTACTGTCGCGGCTATGCAGAACTTGGCTCATGAACATAATAGATCAACATAATTGATATTTTTCGCCATTCCGTCAGGAATATTCTGGGACAATACCTCCAATGGCTTATAATCCTTGTGTGTGATGTATAGAAGGTGTAATCCTGTCACGAATTTGCAAAAGGAACACAAAACACACCAAAAACGTGACAATTTCGCGCGATACCTGGTATGATCATTTGAATAACGCTGTCATGTCGAAGCCGGGCTTCCGACAGTGATCACACACTAATTCACAATACTCACAGCTAAATCCTATGAGCAGCAATGACAACACACAAGGCGTAATAGATAAATCCATTCTGGACACTGTCCTTCCTCAAGCTTGACCAAACAACGTCTGTTAGTAGTCTATTTCCCTCTCTTACGCACAATAATCACTCACAGACTTCCCATCTACTCCGACTCGGAGCAAGTGCTTGATATATTCCTACGCGCTACCAAGCCGGCTGCACTTTTTTCGTTCGCGCAATAAACCGTTACGCGAACTGGTCATGTGATGTAATTGTTGATAATGTCCACTAAATTTCCGCTTTCGTGCACATCTGTGATGGAATACCCGAGAAGTTGATGCAGGGGTATAGTTCATGTAGCGGAAGGATATCAACAGGAAGTGTGATGGGTGAGGTCGAAAACGAGGGAATTGACAGTTGTCACGTGGGCTTTGTTGTGAACAAGATTGTTCAGGAAAGTTGCCGTAGATAATTATGTAGTCTAAACTGGACTTTGTTGTCTTGAAGGAATATTTATAGAAACAACAACAATATGTTATTGTGTACATAAAGATAGGCCTGCCATTAGCTTGTTAAGGGATATTTCAAAAACATTTCGTCAGAATAATTAATCAATTTATTTAAAAAAACATTGACTTGCGCTTGCAAAACGTATTTAGATACATGTATTAAACGTTCTGGTCATGCATGGGCGGCTACAGAAAGGGGGGGGGGGGGGGGGGGGGGTGCGCACCTCCCCTTTTTATTTCAAAAAAAATCTTTATTTTTGTATTAATTGCCACCAAAGACAATAAATAGATCTTAATTGTGCACCCCCCTTTTAAAAAAAGCTGTATCCGCCCATGTCATGCATACACTGAAGTTGACTTACGTTATCTTTATTCAACCATATGAAAAGTCAGAAGGAATGGGTGCATAGTCAGAAAGAAATGCGAACATTAGTCACTTGTAGTGTAACCATAAAGTGTAACCACATAATTTTTGTCATTTAACTATATATATCACATGACTAACAACGGGTCCGGGTAGTCCTGTGGGTACCCGGGTCCTACTCAGTACCCACCCGACCCGAGTACCCGAGTACCCGGGTACCCGAGTATCCGAGTACCCGAGTTACCCGTCCCAGCCCTACTGACTGCACACACAAGCAGTTGCAGGTATTCAATCACGTTTGTTTTTTTAATTCATCTGAATAACTTATTTTGCAGAATTAACAAACAGCTGACGTAGGTTGTGGGAAACTGCTTTTGAGCGTCCACGAATACGTCAAATATACGAATAGATCGGGGATGGGTTTGTAATATAGGTAGAATTTGGTGTTGAATGTGATTGCAGAGCATATAGATATTGAATGTGCTTATTTGAATGTGATTACCCGAGGCACATAGTCATTGGATGTGCTTGTTGAATGTAATTGTAGATTGTCGATGTTGAATGTGATATTAGATTTGATTGTTTGTTATTTAAAGGTAAACATGGGAAACATGTACATTTACTGTTAGTTTGTTGTTAAACGCCGCACTCAGCACTATTCTAGCTATATGACGGCGGTCTGTAAATAATTGAGTCTGGACCAGACAATCCAGTGATTCATATCATGAGCATCAATCCACGCAATTGTGATCGATGACATGCATCAACCAAGTCAGCGAGCCTGACCACCCGATCCCGTTAGTCGCCTTTTAGGACAAGCACAGTCGCCTTTTAGGACAAGCATACAGAGCTCCAGATAAGCTTTTGGTGTTGTGGGTATTTTACCCATGCATTTTAAAATCATTGTCGTAACTCCAATACTGTAACATAGTCTTACCTCCCTTAATTACTGTAACATACGTACCATAGTCGTAACTCCCATACTGTAACAGACGTACCATAGTCGTAACTTCCTTACTCTAACATAGTCGTAACTCCCATACTGTAACATAGTCGTAACTCCCATACTGTAACAGACGTACAATAGTCGCAACTCCCTTACTGTAACATAGTCGTAACTCCCTTAATTACTGTAACATACGTACGATAGTCGTAACTCCCATACTGTAACTGACATGTTCCTTTAATGCTACACACAATTTATATATATTATTTTCAGAACATGCATTCAGAGTTAAGATCTACAGCATCCAAAAGGGCTAATGCACAATACAAGCTCATGCATGACTGGAATCACCCTGCGACATTGTCCCGGAGTATATATATATATATATATATATATATATATATATATAACTCTGCTGTTTATCTACTCGTACAGAGGAGTAAACATCCCTGGTTTCTCATACAATATTAACAAATATGATGGAGATCGATATTCCAGCGTCTGTTGCGTCACTGCACGTCGTTCGACAAGTCCCGATGGCAGACAGCCAACAAACGAAGGTAGATACTTAGTTACCTACGTGCAATTCTTTGTCAGCAACTACCTGATCGATCATCGATGTCTTTGTACTGATGGCCTTGGTTGACTGCCTCTAATTGTTATTACATTATTGAAATTTGTTGCAAGTTAACAAGTACTCCCCTGTCGGATATTAGAATTCAAGATGGTTTCCATTCTCTGTATGTCCGGCGCAACTTCGGTGTTTCCGGATATGATTTGAAACATTGTCCTAAAACTGAGCCTGTCTTTACTGAAACATTGTGTTTATTCTGTGTCTGTCTTCACTGAACCATGGTACTAATACTCTGCCTGTCTTTACTGAACCATGGTACTAATACTCTGCCTGTCTTTACCGAAACATTGTATTAATACTGTGCCTGTCTTTACCGAAACATTGTATTAATACTGTGTCTGTCTTTACTGAACGATGGTACTAATACTGTGCCTGTCTTTACTGAAACATTGTATTAATACTGTGTCTGTCTTTACCGAAACATTGTATTAATACTGTGTCTGTCTTTACTGAACCATGGTACTAATACTCTGCCTGTCTTTACCGAAACATTGTATTAATACTGTGCCTGTCTTTACCGAAACATTGTATTAATACTGTGTCTGTCTTTACTGAACCATGGTACTAATACTGTGCCTGTCTTTACTGAAACATTGTACACATACTCTGCCTGTCTTTACCGAAACATTGTATTAATACTGTGCCTGTCTTTACAGAAACATTGTATTAATACTGTGTCTGTCTTTACTGAACCATGGTACTAATACTGTGCCTTTCTTTACTGAAACATTGTATTAATACTGTGCCTGTCTTTACCGAAACATTGTATTAATACTGTGTCTGTCTTTACTGAACCATGGTACTAATACTCTGCCTGTCTTTACCGAAACATTGTATTAATACTGTGCCTGTCTTTACCGAAACATTGTATTAATACTGTGTCTGTCTTTACTGAAACATTGTACTAATACTGTGTCTGTCTTTACTGAAACATTGTACTAATACTGTGCCTGTCGTTACTGAAACATTGTACTAATACTGTGTCTGTCTTTACTGAAACATTGTACTAATACTGTGCCTGTCTTTACTGAAACATTGTACTAATACTCTGCCTGTCTTTACCGAAACATTGTATTAATACTGTGCCTGTCTTTACTGAAACATGGTGCTAAAACTGTGTCTGTCTTCACTGAAACATTGTACTAATACTGTGTCTGTCTTTACTGAAACATTGTACTAATACTCTGCCTGTCTTTACCGAAACATTGTACTAATACTCTGCCTGTCTTTACCGAAACATTGTGCTAATTCTGTGTCTGTCTTCACTGAAACATTGTGCTATAAAATGATTCGAAATATATGTGAACTGACACTGCTCTTTAGAAAGTTTTCTAGTGAAACTTATGTTATATCTAGTTGTTGTTTATTCAGCAAGGTCACGTGCGCCATCGGCCACTGTCACCGCAGTAGTACAGCAGCCATTGTTGTAATTAAAATTTACATCAGCAGCTTTGTCCTTGCATAGACTTATAAATATACATAGCCAATTTTCTTATGATATTACGTTTATCACTTGACAACTAGACATTGGATTTATGTAATGTGGGAAATACATCGTAGTTTCTTGGAATGTACTGTTCACGCAATTCGGCATACACCGTGCATACAAACAAGAAATGATACTCATCCTCAACGAAACCTTTTTTACAAACATTGCAAAACCATTCATTTTCTTGGAACATTTTACCCGTGCTCGTGGGTTTCACCGAAGTGGTAAACGTCTGAGACATGCATCACTTCGGGCTTTCCTCCCACATTAAGCTGACACGCCGTGATATAACTGGAATACTGTTAAAAGCGTCGTTAAACCCAACTCACTCACTCACTCACTCACTCACTCACTTACTCTTGGAACATTTCCATATCTGCCAGTCTCATTTTTTTAGTTGGTGAGAACTACATCTAAACTTTGCTAAAGCTACACGAAACTTATGAATATAAATATACTTAATATAATACCCTTGACACACTGTAGATTTATACATGGAGTAATTGAATTTTTTTGCACCATGTGACAAGGATGCATGCCTGTCTTGCTGATAAATACATTTTGCTCTTATCATAAATTCTGATTGAATACTACCTATATGTTATTTTTGGGGTTACTCGTTTTAGTAATGCATCCATTGTAAACCCAAGTCGATGCACTCTTACCCAATAGAACGTCTAAACAGACGTTGAAATGATAATACTTAATTGTTACTGCGTCTTGCGCTCGGCATTAGGGGTAAGGCAAGACCTGTTCCGCTCGGAGTCAGTATACTGTGTCTGAGTGGGGTATCCATGTTAAACTGCGGCATGGTATCTCAGTGGGGTAGCTACATGTATATAACATCGGCATTCGTCCGGACTAGTACAAGCAGCCACACACGCGCATGCACGTCTCTAATCTCGAACGCCACTTTAGACCCAATTCACCTTGCCCTCTTGAACGTGGGTAGCGTGCACCCCGTGTGTGTGTGTGTGTGTGTGTGTGTGTGTGTGTGTGTGTGTGTGTGTGTGTGTGTGCGCGTGTGCGTGCGTGCGTGCGTGCGTGAGTGTGTGTGTGTGTGTGTGTGGTGTGTGACGCATGCATCTAACATCACCCTTTCTGTGTAAGTGTGTCTGTGTGTGTGTAAGTGTCGCCGTGTGTCTGTGTGTTCTGTATAAGTATACTACGCAATTAACTACGGAAATAGATACAACCGTGAATAGATAACCGTCATCAAAATAACCTTCCCTGCACTTCTGAAGAAAACCATGAGGAAAATTTCATTTATTTGTTTAAGAATGTGCCGGTTTCACAAATGACAATAGTCACTCTACTAATCGACACACTTAAGGCACTTCAGTCGCTAATAGATGGAAGTAGTCCCTTCCGATACCGCCTCACTGCCGCCGTCACAGA